TTGAAAATTGCAATATTCACTTATTACGGTATGTGTTCCCTGAGACCCACTCCCCACCATCACTCTATATGATGATGCAAAGCAGAAACCAATGGAAAAGACAATTGAACAGACACAGATACACACATACACCCCAAACAAACTGGAATAACAACAAAGTGTAACAAAACAAACAACAACAAACAAGAAAACTAAATACACACACATACACACCTAGCACAAAGTGAATAGAGAAGAAAAACAGAAAGACCGGGGAAAAAAAGGAATTCAGATCAAACCCTTACAAATATACTGACACAGAACTTAAATTACTTAAAAAGGAAAATAAAAAAACCCAGAAGTACAAAAAAAAAAAACCAACAGACTAATAAGAACAACACAATTGAAAGATGAATGCTCCTTAATTCATGTACACACATAAACAGAAAATGACAAATAAGAGAAGAAAGAAACAGAAAAAGAAAAAAAAATGGGAGGGGATGCAGATCAAATCCTCAAATACACATCCATGCACAAAGGAAAAATATTTTAAAAATAGATGTACTAATAAACAAACAGTCAAAGAATTTTTTAAAATTTAAAAAAATTAAAAAATAAAACCCACCCACTTGTGGCAGGTTCTGTAACTGTTCCTCTACTCAGATCTCTGCAGAGTCACCTCTTTCACTCTCTCCTCAGTGACCAGAGCAAGGAAGGAGGAGGGGCAGTGGAGGTGGGTGGAGCTGCAGTCCTTCCTTCCCACTCTTGTATGGTCAGGGAGATCTCTTCCTGTGGAGATCTCTTCCCCAGGTATGTACTCCCAGGGTATGCCCCAGACGGGCCTTTCCTGGAATGGACTTCTCCTATTGTGACTGAGTTCCAGGCTCCGACTGGGTTTGTCCCTCTCAGTTGTGGCCCAGCTATGTGGATCTGATGTTCAGATGATTGCTGGGAAAGAGGGGGTTGGGGTCAGCCCCCGAGTCACCACTGATCTCTTTGGAGTCCTTCCTCATCCTTTTCTGGCCGCACCCTTTGTGTCATGGTTGGATCAGGGCAGGGGGTGGTGTGTCTGGAACTCAGCACTCCTCAGGTCCCTCTGAAGTTTGTGCTTTCAGGATACTCCCTCTGGATCATTATCAATCCCTGAATAGTTGATCCACCAGTCACAGAGATCAGGTCTGTTGCTCCCTGGTGACAAGTCAGAGCACTTTCCTACCCAGCCTTCACGATGGTGGTGGGGGGCCTCTTTTGTCCTCTTCCATGGGACTTTGCCTGTGGACTCCTTCTGCAGCCCCTGTTGCCAGTTCCCTGCCAGGCACTGAAGTGGTGAGGCAAAGTCTGGAACTGGCGATCTCTCTTGCCAATGATGAGGGAAAGTCTGGGGTGACAGTCTCTCCCCACCGCTTTTCACAGGAAAACTTTGTCCATTAAAGAAATGGCACTCTGAGCCAGGCTTGGTGGCTCAGCCTGTAATCCCGCACCTTTGGGAGGCTGAGGTGAGTGAATTGCCTGAGCCTGCGGGTTTGAGACCCGCCTGGGCAGGCGAGACCTCATCTCTACAATAAATTAAAAAAATTAGCCGGCCGTGGTAGGGTGTGCCTGTAGTTCCAGCTACTTGGAAGGCTGAGGCAGAAGGCTCGCCAGAGCCCAGCAGGTCGAGGCTGCAGTGGCCGGGAGCGGCCACTGCACTCCAGACTGGGCGATAGTGAGACTCTAACTCAAAAAAAAAAAAAAAAAACGGCACTCTGGACCAAGCAGAGAAGCTGCACCACCAGTTATTGCACCAGGGGCCTGGCCACTTGCCCTTGAGCCCCCACTTAGACAGTCTCTCCCAGTATTTTCTTCCCAAGGCGGGTTTTGTCGATTAAAAAAAAGAAAGAAAATGGCACTTAGCTTCCATATCCTGGGAATTGCTAGGGTCCAAACCTAGCAGCTGTGGCACCAGTCACTCCACCAGGAAAGCCCTGACCACTAGCTTCCTAGCCCTCACTCAGTCAGACCCTCACACGCCCACTTGCTCACCAGCACATGCACAAAATTTTTCATACACTTACTGACTCGCTCTGGGACTTGCATAGTCCGACTGTCTCAGCTGCCGTCTTCCAGTTTTCTCAATTGTGGTTTAACATGCCTCTTTAGGAGCATCATAGGATTGGAGTGCTTAGAAGAATGAGCAATGTCTGTTATGGCCTTGAAGTATTGGAGGTTGGAATAAGTATTGCAAAATGAATTGGAGTAGTCAACTCCAATACACTGTCAAATGCAGAGAAGGACAGCTAGATCATTCCAGCAGGACAAATTAAAATGGCATCGTCTTGTTCTCCTGACTCTCCTTCCAGGATAAGTCCAATCCTACAAGGTAGAAAGTATGGGCGAACACCCCCCCACACACACACATACACTCACACACACACAACTTAGAACAAAGTAAGTGTGGGAGTAGGAGAAAGGCAACAAGAAGTAGAAAGCACACACTGCTCTGGTGCAACATTTTTGCCTTGGATGAGGTTTCTTCTTTAAATTAAATTCAACATGTTATTTCTAACAAAAAATTCAACTCTAAACATTTTAATAAACTTGATATGGATGATGGCTTATGAGCTGGGAACTCTTTATCAGAAACTTGGATTTTCAAATTCTCTGTCACTTTGCAATTCTTTAAGAAAACAGTATCTATAGCATCTTGATATTTCAATTAAAATTCCTGTCTTAACATCTTATTACACATGTGAGAGAATTATGCTTCTTAGCTTCAGACATTCCAAAGAGGTCAGTGAGAGGAGAGCTACAAATCTGAAACTTTACGTCAATCTGTATACTTTTATTTATTAATTTTCAGAAAAAGATTGAAAGTAAATATGACAACATTTAAAGATATGACTCATCTGTGGTGGGTGTTTGAATGCTTCTTAAATTATCTTGTGTTTTGTGTGACTTTATAAAATCTCTCCAGTATAACCCCTGTCCTCATTGGTGGTGACATCAATATCCATGAAGGTAGTAAACCTAACAAACAGGTCTTTCCGTTGTTTTCTTAACTTTTCACTGAAGTTGCAGTAATAGTACAGAGCTCCTGTATTCCCATCACCCAGCCCACACCAAGAGTTACATAATTAGAAAATATAACCAAAGAAAGGAAATCGACATTGTTACGTTCAAATTATCTGTACTACAAACCTTTCACCAGTGTTTGCATGCACTCACTTATTCAAGGGTGGGAATGCTTTGTGTGTAATTCTGTAACATTTTGTTACATGTATACATTTCTATAACACCACTATTTTGAAGATATAAAGCTATTTGGCTTCTCTCTCATGTCAGGATATGAATTCCACGCACTCTTGCTCAGAACCATCCTTTCCACTTGTATACTGGTTCTCCTGCCTCCTCCCCCCACAAAAATTTTATGTAATTATTGCTTCTCCCTCCTGCATCTTCTCTGTTTTCTTCTTTAATGGATCATTCCATCACAGGTCTAACGTGTTATTCTACTTCTTGGCTTAAAACAAAAGCCAAGTTCACAGTCCCTTCCATCTGTTCTTTTCTTTAGACAAAATCTCGTCAAAAGAGTTTTCTGTAGTCATTATGTGCATTTCATAATCCTCCTCCCATCCTCTCTCTCTCTCTCTCTCTCTCTCTCTCTCTCTCTGTCTGTCTCTCACCTTCTAATATCTCTGTCTCTCTCATAAATAGATCATTAACTTTGTCTTGTATTAAATAGCAATACAGTCACAAGTTTCAAAAAAATCTAAATAGTCGTTCCCATTTCAGGCCCTCAGACATTCTTATCTTCTTATCAAAGATATATGTGTAATTATTTTCTTTTTGTTTATTTTTAAATTTATTTTATTTTAAAGATGTGGGATACAATTCAGGTTAGGTAAACAGGTGGTCATCCTACAAGTAAAGTTTGGGCCTCCCTTTGGTCCCCATTTTACCTGGTTTGAGATCAGGTACACTTATTAACGTTATGTGCCCTACCCCCTTGTTGTGTCCACTGACTGCCAATCCCTTTCTTATAGCATTATGGTAAATGTTCAGGGTCTGCTTATGAGTGAGGACATATAGTACTCAATTCTTTGTTTCTGTGATAAATCATTAAGTATTATAGACTCCAAATCATTCCAAGTTGCTGGAAGTCCACAATTATGTTCTTCTTTATGGCTGTGTAATATTCCATCATGTATATGTACCACATTTTAAAAATCTAGTTCAGCATCAATGGGCAGCACAGTTGGTTCCATGTTTTTGCTATTGTAAATAGTGTTGCAATAAATATGCGCGTGTAGGTATCTTTTTGGCAGAGTGATTTAAGTTCTTCCAGGTATATTCCCAGAAGGGGAATTGCTGCATTGTAAGGAAGGTCAATTTCTAGTTCTTTTGGGATTTGCCACTCTGTTTTCCATAGAGGTTGAACTAGTTTGCATTCCCACCAACAGTGTAGAAGCCTTCCCTTTTTTTTCGCATCCTTGCCATCATTTGTTTTTTGTTTACCAATGATGGCATTCTTACTAAAGTTAGGTGGTATCTCAATGTGGTTTTGATTTGCATTTCTCTGATGATTAATGAGGCTGAGCATTTTTTCATGTGTCTGTTGGCTGCTTGTGTATCTTCTTTTGAGAAGTGTGTATTCTTGTCTTTTTCCCATTTTTTAACGGGGTTGCTCAAAGGTATATATAGTCATTATAGCTACTAATTTTTAGAATTCAGAGATATTTAATGCTAAAATAGTCATACATTGTCTGTGTCTTGCAAAATGCACTATTCATCTGCATTCCTTTTTTTATGGTGCTAATTTTTAAATAGTTTTATTTAAATTGCACTTTCCACTTACAATACAGTGCTTACAAAGTGCAATGTTTTTTCCTTTCCCTGTGCACATGCTCCATATTCAAGAATTAAGAATGTCCAGTAATTTACTATAGCAGCTCAACTTTAAAAACTGCCACAGGGTTTGCTACTATTTGGAGTCTTTCAACATTAACTCTGTGGAACAATGCTGCATCTATACTTGGGCTGCCTTAATCAACCTCTTCGATGGTGGGGCCTGAGGAAGCACCACAAGAGGGAGGAGCTCCACCACCAGGGAATCCCCCAGGCATTCCTCCTGGCATGCCTCCTGCATGCCTCCTGCACTCTGGTACAGTTTGGTAATGATGGAATTGCAGACTTTCTCCAGCTCTTTCTGCTGGTGTTCAAATTTCTCCTTCTCTGCAGTCTGATTCTTATCAAGCCAACTGACAATTTCATTACACTTGTCAAGAATCTTCTGTTTGTCCTCATCATTGATCTTGCCTTGAAGTTTCTCATCTTCAACAGTTGCCTTCATGTTAAAGGCATAGGATTCAAGTGAATTCTTGGATGATACTTTGTCCCTCTGCTTCTCATCTTCAGCTTTGTACTTTTCAGTCTCCTGGACCATACACTCAATGTCTTCCTTGCTCAAATGACCCTTGTTATTAGTGATAGTGATTTTGTTCTCTTTTCCTGTACTCTTATCCACAGCAGAGACGTTGAGAATGCCATTGGCATCAATATCAAAAGTGACTTCAATTTGAGGAACA